GTGCCACAGTTTATAACTTTGTTAAATTTCTTCTGATTTTAATTTGTAAGTAAAATTTTATTATTTTTATTAATCATGAATTGCAAAAAGGCAAGTGAAAAGCAACAGAAAACTAAAAAAATGACTAGAATCATAATGGAACTGAAAAAAGAACACTGTTGAGAAATATGAAGGTGGCATGCGTGTTCGAGATTTTAACTGTTGCATACCGTATTCCGAGAACGGCGATATCGACAATTGCGAAAAATAAAGATATTATTAAATCTACTAACGTTGCGAAATGAGTTAAATCAATTTCTAAACAGAGATCGAAGACATTAGATCATGTTAAGAAATTGCTTTTGCTTTGGATAACTGAAAAACAGTGTGCTAGAGACAGCGTATCAGAAGCAATTATTTGTGAGAAAGCTAAAAAGATACATGCTGATCTCACGAAAAATCAAGCAGGAAAGCGAGGTGTTTAAAGCCAGCCATTTTTTTTTCATGAGAACGGATTAATCATTTTTGCATTACTTCTTATGAGAAAAGTTGGTTCGGTATACGTCCTATTCGGTATAAGTCCAAACATCAGGAACGGATTAAGGTCGTATACCGAGGTTCCACTGTATTTTGTCAGAAGAATCTTTATAATAATGTAAGAAATTTTTTTAGGTCGGATGCCAGGACAGTTAAATGTGCTTTTGGCAGAAGCTGGTGTTCCTTACGATATTGTTTTAGAAATGGATGAAATCAATCATGATTTTGATGAAACAGATTTAGTTTTAGTAATTGGTGCTAATGACACGGTGAATTCTTCTGCAGAGGAAGATCCAAATTCAATTATTGCTGGAATGCCTGTATTGAGAGTTTGGCTTGCTAAACAGGTATTTTGATTTGATTTGATTTTTAAAATGTTATCCTTTTATTTCAACACAAATTTATTTAATGTAATTTAATATTTATAGGTTGTTGTGATGAAGAGAAGTTTAGGGGTTGGCTATGCTGCTGTAGATAATCCTATTTTTTATAAAGAAAATACTGCAATGTTATTAGGAGATGCTAAGAAAACCTGTGATGCTCTTTTGAACAAAGTTACAGAAACATATGCCTCTTAGGATGGAAGAAGTAATCATTTATATCATGACGTCTGATTAAATTACTATCACGAAAAAATCATGGTTTTATCACAATGTTAGGTGAAGTCCTTTTTCGTTTATTTATCATGTAAAAGAACAGCATTATGCAACTGTAACAAATCTCAAAAATAAATGAATGAAGATGGAAATAAAATTTTCAAAATTTTGTAAATATGTATTTAATTATTATTATAATTACTCTATTAAATCTTATACTAAATACTGTTATTGATACCTTTAATCATAGAAATAGATATTTGTCTTCTTACAAATTAATTTCTTATATATATTAGAAATCCTCTTTTTAAAAATGAAATAAAATGAATAATTTCCACAAAAAAAACTAATCTTCTAATTATTCAAATTATGTAATTTAATATAAAAATTTACTAAACTTAACAAGTTCCCTTATTGATGAACAGTTTCTAAAATAATGAAATGCACAAACTCACAACAAACCTTTACTTGTAGTCTATGCTGGAGTCTACAAGTAAGGCTGAAAGTTAAGAATTAAATTACAAAACTAATTTCTAAGTTGTTATGACAATTATTTGAAATGCAGATATGATTTTTGAGTACTTTGAGTGTCATTAATAATAAACAAGTTGATTGAAATATTTATTTGATCTGGAATAATAATTACATATTAATATCTTGTGATAAACCACAATAAATTAATTATGATAAACTATCTGATATGCACCATAATTTTTTTTTCTTCCTATTTTGATTCTTGACAAATTCCACTTGTTTTACATTGACCATTTTATTAACTTTCTTAATAATCTGTACTATGCATAAACTCTAGAAATCTTAGAAAAATTTGATATAAAGTTATATTTTTCATACATTTGAAATATATAATGGCATTAAGATAATTTTTTAATATCTGTTTCCATGCTTCTATTTGTATACTGGTAAAATTATTTTAAATTGTAAAATATTACTTAGTAAATAGAGAGATTTATGGATGAAGATTAATTTTAGAATTTTATTTTAATTTTTAAAATGTATTCTATGATTAACTATTTTTTTTAAATTTCATTTATCATTCATTTTGGATTTCAACTGGATAAAAATGTTTTCAAGTAAAAAATTTGAAACAATTTTTGTCAGTAATGCACTTGAATGATATAATTATTTTTTATTGTTATTTATAAACAGTGATGATAATCCTGTGCATACAATACTACCATTAACAGGAGATGCATTAGTATGATGAACTGGGGATTAAGAAATGTTATCTACATTCAGGATTTTAAGTCTTTAAAATAAACAAAATAAACACAAGTTTAAAATTACATATATTCACCAGACTAAATTATGTAACAAGTTTTGAAAGACAGTGAATGAGATAAAATGGTTATGATGGTAGTGATGTTAACTGAAGAAACAATTTGATGATTTCAGTTTAATCTTGCATGTTTTTTGAAATTCTTTGCTCTCAGGTTACTGTCTTCTTTCTCCTGTACCTTACAAAAATTTATTTACATTTTGTTTAATATCATTCAGACTTTGAAGTCTTTTTTGTTAACTCTCTTGATTATTTGTACTGTCTGTGCAGGTTAATGATTACCATGGTAATCTAAATAGTTGATATATATATTACATATATTATAGAAACAGTGAAAATAGTTATCTTGCAGGCAGGCACTTGTACATTCATCACAATAGATGACAGGAGAGTGCAGCAAGCTTTTAAATCAAAATAATGTGGCAAGTGTATGTAGATGACTCCAATGAAAAATGGGACACAATTTATGGCCAAACAGAACAAACACTTTGAAGAGCAAACTTTTATCTTCTTCAGTTTTGGAACACTGAGAGATTTTTGCTTCAGATCATTGATCTTTGTTGTATAAAATATTAAAAAAAAAAAGAAGAACTTGTATATTCATATCTCCAGTAGAGAAGAAAACTGAAGGCACATAACCTGCCAGTGTTCCTTTTATAAGACCAGTACATCAGTTTTGATATGATCAGTATGATAGAATTATTAGTACAGTTTCATCATACAGATGTAAATGTACAAAAGATATTTAGCACAGATTTTTGGCAGTCAAAGATAAATGTGCAAAAGGAAGGCAATTGTGACTAATTTATCATCATTCTGTGCATGTTTGTTGACAGTCTGTAAGCATAGGAAAACTTAAAATTGGAAAAGTAAATTTTGGCACCAAAACACAAAGTGATAGGAAGAAATAGAAATACCATGGTTGCATATTATACATCATTATTTAATCCATGTTGTAATTGCCTGCACTCTCACTGCAGTAAATGTGTACCAGTGCTTAAGTCAAACGTTCTCTGCAATTATTTAAATTATATTAATCCAAGTAAATTTCTCATTTGTTTTATCATTTAACACAAAATATCTAATGTACTAACTATTATATTATGACAAGTCTAATATTTAAAGTTTTGAATATATTAAGAATAACAAATAAAAATAATAATTATTGATTCCTAGTCTAATTATGATTAATGATATTGATACAAATCAAATGATTAATAAAACATGCAGTTTAATATTTGCCCACTTTGACTTCAAAACTAATATGCAAATATCCTGTTCTTGGTCCCATCCATCAGGTTTCTTTTACAGTTATCACATAAAATTTAGTTTTCATTCTTATTAGTATACCTAGTTTATTTACTGTATATAATTAATATAGTATACTTTTCTAAAATGCATTTTAATAATAATAATAACTTCTATTTTGGATAAAATTGCACATCATCAGGACAGATCAATAAAATTTGTGCTGGATAATTTAAAAAATTGCAATAAATAATAATTAGAAACAAAATTTCTTGGCTGAAATGTCATTAAATATGCATAACACAAAACTATTTTCCTTATTAACTTTAAGCCTTTTTTTGCATCTGCTATTCTATATAATTCAACATTATCACACTTATTATTATACACTTGTCATTAAAATCATTTCTAATAACAAGTCTTTTTTAATCCCATTTCTTCATTATAAAAGTAAATTTGTAGACTAGATATATCCAGCATTGTAATCTTTGAAGAACCATCTAACATGCTTGCCCATTCTTGCAGCATTGGCTATATCTATAAACCAGCAAGTGTGCGTTTCGTAAGCCTGTCATTATTCTATATGTGCATTCAGTATAGATATTTGCAATATACATTGATAATGCATGGAAGTTGGCAACAATGTAAAACAGTGGAGCCACTAATACTGTCACTAGCAGAATTGACCATACATGCATTAGTCTGACGGAAGCTATTTGGTCCCATTCGCGCGATATAAAACTTCGTTCATTTTCTGCAATATGTAGAAAAAGTACTTTTCTCAATATTATATTATTCAATAAATTTTTGCCATTGTGTTGGCAATATTATAATTGCAATGACATGTTACATTTTACTATAACTTGGTCTTTTGTATAGTTTGAGGATTTGATTTTTAAAGTTAGTTAATTAAATTTTTATGCATCCACTTTTGCTACTGTTGGAGACATTTTTCCTGGCATAGATTTTGATGGGGCTATGTCACTAAACTGAATCAGATTGGCAGTTGCTGTTTGTCCATGGTTGTTATCTATTCCATTAACATCAGGCCCTGTTATACCTGTAATAAAATACATATAATTAATAATTAAATAAATTATATATATATATTTATCAATATCTATTATTTTAATTTGTTAAAAATCTTATTAAAATTACAATAAATAAATCAAAATAAATTAGCAGATTAGTTATAGAAGTCAGCATTCAGTTACTTGATAACATTTTTGAAGCTGAAAGCTTGTTTCTAAAACATCAAGTAGCTAAATACAATGCATTCTCACCAAACTGAACTAATTATTGTACTGTACAGAGTTATTTAGTGGAATTGTATATGAAGAAGAGCAAGTCAATATTTTTTAAAACATGGTAAATTTGTAATACTTTGTCTAAAATTTTGTTTAGTTTTTGGCTGGAACATTTAGCAGACCACCTAAATTGATTTGGATTAACTAGTCAGGACCATGGAAAGGACCATGGAAAGACTGGTAAGGGGGCACATGTCCAGAGCAACAAAATTCCAAAATTGTCACATAAGTGAACTAAGAAATTCATAGAAAACTGTCATATACAAATATAATATGCATTATATTAATAAAAAGTATTTTTTTTATGATTTTTAAATTTGTAGCGTTAATGAAAGGCTTATCCAAAAAGGTGTCATATTTAAGTTTACCCCTGGTGCAAAATGCTCCAGCTATGACCCTGACTACAGTGCACTGTATTGATTTCTACAACTAACATGTAAGCTTATTTTGATTAGTTTCACCTAACAAGGAGTCCAAAAATGAGTTCAGAATTAAAATTATGNCAAATTCTCTATTCGATTTTGAATTGCCTGAAGATGACGTACATATTTATGTTGAAAGCGCTTGCAAGATTAAAATATTTCATTTAATTCTATTTAACGCCATGTAGTCTGAAGTTTTGAATGAGTTAACTGTTGGCGTGACATCCAAGCCAAGTATTTAATACACCTAACATGATATTTTTCTGTTTGGTTAAGATGAAATTAAGTTGAATATGGAACTTTCAGGTGATTTAGATTTAAAACATACAAATTTCAAACCAAATATTGCTAATCTTGCTAAGGATCATCAAGCTCACCCATCTCACTGATTGTCAGTTACAAAAATTATTATTAACATATATACAATAAATGTAAAAAATGTAAAATTAAAAGAAATGTAGTAAAATAGTAGAGCTTTCTTTTTGCTTGTAACACAGACTTTTTGGTGGGGGTTGATGTTAGGTTTCAAAAAGTTGTAGAGTTGACGATCCAAAAAATTTGGCGACCTCTGTTATAGTCTGTCAAAATTTTACATTAGACATATAATTTTGGATACATCTTGCTAAACCTGTTCATTCAAATACTCCGAAAATCTAATGAATGTAGATATTGTGAAAGTGCATGATTATTTGATGTCTCTTCAATGAAGATTTCACAGAATAGGTAATGCTGTATGAATGTTCACTATTATGTGTAGTCAGTCTTGTTCTAGAAGTTAATGTGTAAGTTTAATTTCTAATTATTTATTGTACTATTCAATCATTGTTGCCAGTTTCATTCTTCAATTGATTCCTCAAAAAAATTCATAGTTTTAATCTATAATTGCACATTAATTTGTCATGTCCA